TATATATATATATATATATATATATATATATATATATTATTTGTCGCTGCGCATGAAAATTACTCCTTTTTGTGTGATCCATCGCAGAAAGGTGGGTTCTTTGTCTGCTTGCAGCCGCAGAGATAAACCTTCTCGGTATTTTTCGCAGTAAACGCCATAGGCTTCAGTGTCGTCTTGTGCTCCGCGTTGTACGCCGTGTGACTACCGTCACAGAAAGGCTGATTTTTGCTCAAACCACATGTGCACCAGTAGTACGTCTTATCTTTCTCCACATCAACGCCGTAGGGCGCCCTCTGTGGGACGGCGACATGTGTTGAGATGGAGTAAGCTGTAGTATCAGTCATTGTGGTGCTTGAGATTTGCTTATTGCCTTTTGGGATATATGAAGGTTCACTATTTACGAGAGGTGACGGTCACGAGGAACGTGAGAAAGGAACAACAACAGTAAACACACAAACAAGACAAGAAAAAAAAAAAGATGCTAGTGGTCCAACGGCAGTCATTTAATCCACAATATCCACGGCAAATCGGAAAGCAAAATAACTCAACACAACGCACTGAATATGGACTATGTTTTAGCTTTCATTTCTCATCAAAGAGAGAAAGTGTTGCGCTAATCCTTCTCTTTTCTTTTGCCTTTGGACTGATTGGATCAGCAATGTCAAGTAAAGAAAGTACGCGTGCCATATTTTTTTTTAGATCGCTCTCTATCAATTCAAAGAGTTCGTGGAAACGTCCCTGTGCGCTGCGCTTGCTACATGTACTTTTAGGTCCTTGCTGATAGACACCATGTGTTCCCGCTCGTTCGCTACTTACAGCAGCGTTGGTTGGAATCGTGGAAGCTCCTTCCTGTTTCACAGGTGTTGTTGTTGTGAGTTGTCCTTCGGTGTACGCGCTTGGCCTCGCGATCAAAGCACCGCAGACGGCACACTCGTTCTCATTGGTAAGCATTGTCTTTGCCAGCTCCAAACACTGCCTGCAAGCCGAGTAATGACAACATGTAAGTACCACCTCTTCAAAGTATTCCAGGTCGCACAGAATGCATGTCCCTTTAGTTCGCTTCTTGAGCTGTGTCTGTTCAGTAGTTTTCTGACGCTGAAGCCAAGGAATCAGAGGAAATGCTTTGTTTGATAAAGCGGTTACTCGACTAAAGGCATGTGGATCATTCATATCTTCGCTGCTGCGACCACGCTTTTGTTTGCGAGAGCAAGGCGCTTGTGAGTCTTTCGTGGCCTCTTCAGATTGTAAAAGAGATTCTACGTGCTGTAGGTGGTTTTCTTCTGTCGTTTGAACGTTTGGAGTTACTCCATCCATGTAATGCCTCCGCAATACATTCACGGCAATCCTGTCGTACGTGCGTAAAAGAGTATCCAACGGCAAAACGTCATTGGTGGCATTTTTTGATGCCGTCTGAGAATCCTGACGCTCTGCACTGACCGTTAAGAGGTGGCGTACCTCAAATTTGTACTTTGTGAGGTTGATTTGGTGCTGCTTTACAACTGCCTGCAGTAATGCTTCTAGAGGCACCGTCTCACCTTTAAATCCAAAGCTGTGATAACGACCAGATGCAGCTGGATGGGAGCCAATGAGTCGATACTGCACCACGCCTTCCACCTCCATGCTCTTCCTACTTGGGCCCGCCCTTCACTTGTGATATCCGTGGGCCCAGCAGGTGCGACTTCGTAGCGCAGGTTAGAAATATCGAATATCAGTCCCACTAAAAGAAAGGAAGGAGGGAAACAAAACAAAAACAAAACAGAAAGATGTTGGGGCGTATATTAGCATATATTTCACTAAACAAACACATTGTTTGGTCCAACTTGCAAGTGGGGGGGGGGGGGGGGAGGAAAGGTTGAGTTACATATCAGTACAAGAATGACAGTATAACATATTCATATCAGACATGGTGGCAATTCTCGTCATTTGCTCTCCTCAATCGCCGTACACAGTTGCTATAACTCCATGCTTTGTGCTGCTGACGTTACTGGGGTTTGCCTTCTTTGATCCTCCCGCGACATAGACGGTGCACCCATCAACGGTGAAGTACCGGTCAGATTCCCCAGTTTCCTCAAGCTTATTTCGAAGTTTGTTTATGGCTTCTTCCTCAGTGTCGTCAGCGTATCCTAAGGCAGTCAAGGGTGAAAAGCCATCAAACTGATTCTTTGGCTTTGTTACACGCGGTCGATCCGTCTGGAGGCTTAGAGACCTGGTAGAGTGTCTTTGCCGATAAATTTGCGCTCTCTTTTCTTCCGCTTCTAAGTTAGTCCAATCAACAGACCAGAGGAAGTTGCTGCGGTCAATGCCTTCGTAGGCATCCTCGTCCGGTGACCTGTAGTCTGTTTTCATAACGGACAGTGGAATAAAGACGGACTGCGCACCTGTAAACACCTCGCGAAAGCTGTCCTTATCCCGTGGGCTGGCCACGTGCAGGATCCACACCCGGGCAAGCTTCTTCCCAACATCGGAGAGTACAAGCCCATAGTGTTTGAGCATTATCTTTACCTCGCAAAAGGCCACTTGAAGGGTATACTTCGCAGTGTACTCCGGGTCTGGTAGGTCAGGGTCTTGTGTGTAGATTTCCTGACATACACGACGAAATGTGTCGCGTTGCTTGCCTGTGGCTATCTTGTTGTACCAATACTGTACCTGCTCGCGACGTTCAGGGACAAAAATGGGGTAATACTCTTCATGCATAAGGTGCCATTTGACGGACGGCTTCGACGGTAGAGGCACAATCTTTGTGAAACGAGTATTCATCCTCTTACTTGTTTGATGGCGTGCGTAGGCCTTCCGGGCAAACTACTTGGCTCTGTCTTTTTCAGTATCCCCCGCCTTAACCGAGGCGGAAGGAGACGAGCAACAAGTGGTGACGACATGACGTACAGCGAGAAAAAAAGAAACAAAGATAAAAATGCTAAGCAGCAGGCTATGAAAAGGGAGTTCAATGCCTCATCCACTCAACGTGCATCAAGGCAACAGAACAAAACCGGACAACAAAAAAAAAAAAAAAATTACGGGACGTCGGATTCACAGCGTCAACATACACAAAAAAAAAAAAGTAAAACAAAAAAAAACACACATGCACAACACTCCTCACAACTACAAGTTGAGAAGCACATGTCCACACACGCAGATACAAGTAGAATGGATATACCTGGTCGCTTACATAAGAAAAAACGCAAGTTTGAAAGAACGTAAAAGTTTTTTTCTTTTTTTGAAGTTGTTGGGGGTGACACAATCTACTAAGGGCCATTCTTCACCTGCGGTTGAAGCTCTTTTGTCATCTTCTCCAATCCAGCGGAGCCACCCGTATCTGTGAGGGGCACTTGCACGACAGAAGAACTATTCACGCTCACTAGACCTTTAAACGTCCTTGTCCATATGTCAAATACCGTTGTGTTGCATGTGAGAATATCAACACTTGTTGCAGTGCCTTGGAGGCGGTCAGTGAACCAAAGGGAAAAGGCGCCTTTGGTCGGAAGCTTCACACGGTGTTTGTCAACCCGTGGTCCTATAATTGAGCTCAAGGAGAGCAGTTGCGGGTGAAACGATGCCGAACGTGTATTTATTGTAATCCCCACAAGTTGTTCTAAGGGAACACAACCTACCAGTTGAACTCCCGTGCGATGCATGGTCCAGACCAAATACGGAATCTTCCGTGAGGATGGTGCTGTAATGTCACGAGGCAACATGCGGATACTGAAGAAACGTTCTCTTGGCGAAGACTTGGCCTCGTAGCGGACGAAGTACGCCCCCTGACAACAGAGGTCAATGTAGTGGAGAAACACCTCTGACATGTGGTACTCAACAATATTGGCGTATCGTGGCAGAAAGAGACCGCGACTTCCAAGTAGGCTCAGGACAATGGTATGACGCGGATGCCGTATCCACGCAAAGGCAGATGGTTCGGATTCACACAAGATCCCTGGTGGCACGACAGGCTCTGCGTCAAAGTCAAAGAGGACCGATTCCTCAAATGACGATGCGGAAGCTTCTGAGGTGAATGAGGAGGAGGAGTCATCCAACGATGAAAAGGACGATGTTCTGAGCGGAACTCGTCCCGCATCGCGGGGCACGGCTCTCCCTGCTCTCCCAGAGGCAAAAAAGCTTTGATCATCATCATGCAACCAATTGCGGGTCACCCTCCATCCGTCTTGTGGAACCGCACCACGCGTATGAACTTGGGTAGCAAAAGTGGAACCGCCACCGCCACTGCCACTAAACTTGTTGCGCTTGTTCGTCCCCCCACTGTCATTGTTGCTTCTGGTACTGGCGTAACCCCTAATTATATTCCCGTGCGACGCATCATCTGACCGCGACGAGTCAAGGCCAGCATCAAACCTTTTCGCCCTCGATGATCCAGCAGAGAAAAACGTGCTACCGTTGTGTGGCATGGGAGAACTCTGATCATACCCACTTATAGTATCAATGTTGTTTGTGTACCTGCTGTTGTTGTTGTTATGGTTACTGTCCGAGGCGGTGGTGTTGATGAACGCATTCCAGCCGCGTGACCCTCCCGCATTGGTTGTGGTCTTGGCGGCAATTGGCCCCTGTCGCGCATTGCCTGAAACGATTGAGTTTGTGTGATCATGTAGCGACTCCTCGCTCCTGTTGATGCTCAACTTGGGCACAAAGGCAGGTGGGGGGGCAAGTTTGTCGTCACTTCTCATGTGTATTATACGCAACTGTATCCAACCAGTGGTGTGGCGGTTCTGGTCCACTACTACCACGACGCCAGAATTTAAAAATTTAAAGGAAGAAGAGGGCGAAAAGGAAAATAATAATAATAATAATAATATAATATATATATATATAAACCAACAAGGAAAAGCATGAAAGGGGAATTCAGGTGAAAAAAATAACGCATATAAATAAGTGAGAGCAACGCAGCGCTGTTGCAAGGATATTGACAAAATCTTAAATAATAAGAAAGAACCACCGTTCCTTCGCTTGAGTCGCCTGTCATCCCCTCCACATCGAGGCTGTACTTGTTGTTTCCGCTAGTTACACAACTTGGCTTAAGAGACTTTCTCACCCTCGTGGTATCGCACGTATAGGTTCTGTAGGGTATGCCGCAGATTCTCAACAGTTTCTCCCATCTTCTCAATCTGCCGCTGCAGTCCCTTCATCATCCATACCGTCATTTCCGCTGCAGTCACAGTGTCATCGCCGCACCACGCGTTGCACGCGGCAAACCACTCTACCCACCATTGAGGCATGCTAGTAGGGTAGTAGTTGTCCGGCAATATCGCCGGCAGATACTCGGTCTCAACATGACAGACAATCCAGGCCCGCTTAGCGTTCCGCCGATCAACAGCATTTAGCGAGTTGGGCTCCAACCGGGAAAACTTTTTCTTTTGAACACATGTCTCTCCCTTCTTTTGTTTACGACCAAAAAGCTGGCGATACTTTTTTGACGCAGCCTCATATGCAATGGCAACCCTGTCGGCAAACTGACGTCGCCATGAAGAATACGAGCGTCTATGGGACCTTGAAACGTTTTCATCACCTGACACTGTGCCACTTGATGGACTATCATGTGCCTCACTTCTCACAGATTGTTGGCGTGAACTTCCGTTTTTTTCGTTACAGCAATTGGCCGCAGCAGAAGCTTCTGCAGACAATTTTCCTGCAAGAAAAGATGGAGTTGTCACAGTACTTGCCGTTGTGGTTGTGGTGGTGAGGTCACACTGCGAGCTGTCCGTTCGTTTCGCAGAAGGCAATCGCGATGACACACTCGACGTTCCCTCATTACTGCCATAATCGTCCAGAAGATAACCAATGGTGTGCACAACCCCCATCAAATCATCCTTCTGCTCCATTGGCTTTCCCAAAAAGCCACGTCGACTATGCCACCACCCCCTGTACGGTCGTTCGTACAAGGGAGACATAGACGCAGAGGCACCGCTGCTGACACTACTACGACCATAATCAATGATTTTAAACATGAAAAAAAAAGGATATTCAACGGTGTTTGGTATACCGTTAGTATCATGCCTAACTGAATTTTTATTCAGATTATTGTTCAGAATCTCCTTGGAGTTCCAGCAGAAGTTCTCGGGTTTGACACTGCGGTGAGTAACGCCCCGCTGGTGAATTGCGCTAAGCGTCCGCAAGAGCTCAATCCCTACGAGGCACAACTCCTCCTCATGCAAGATGAACTGCTCTGTGAAGGCAAACAGGTCAGGCCCCAGGAGCTCTAAGCCAATTGCGACGTATCGCCCTAACTCTTGAGTAAAAAGAAGCTTTGGAGAGGGGGGCGGTAAAGAACGCACAGACGTAAACAAAGTTGCCGTGAATTGATCATCATTAATGATTTCATTAACTTCATCGTGCGCCTCCACCTTCTCACCCCCATGAAAGGTATCCAAATACCTCAAGCAAAATATCTCACGCCGCATGTGACGAGACGATGGCGAGACAAACTTCACTGCCATACTTGTATCGTCTACGGTCATGGCACTTCCAGCATCGATCCCATTCCAATCTGCTTCTCGGCATTGCGGAGGCGGGCTAGGTGAGATGTGTCGCTTTTCCCGAGGAGCCGCCTCACGTTCTTCTGCAAGTGCAAATTCACTGCCAGAAACTCTCCGCGCCAAAAACACATGACTATTGTTACCGCTCTGTATGCGGCTCAGTATATGGAGTGGAATCGAAAGCGTGTGGGGAGAAACGGGCGACAGGGAGCGTGACGAGTAAGATGACGATGAAGTTGTCGCAGTTTTCATGGTCGATGAAAGCGAAGAGGACCTGCAGTCATAATGATCATTGGTTTTAGAAGCGCGCGGAACTCTTCCAACACCGAGATTAGTGTGATAGTCCTCTGATAAGGCCGGTGCTGCTCGTCCCAAAACCTCACCGCAGAGACCCACGTCCTCGTGTTTGGCCCGCTTCGCTGGCACATCCCTCTCGAGTAGCGACTCAAAATGCCCGCAAGTGTCACTTTGCATTCTCCCTAGTGGTTGTGGCAAACTATTGCTTTTGTGTCCTGCGAAAGCCGCGATAAAAACAAAGAGAAAGAGAGAAACGAGACCTCACAAGCCGAGTAGGAAACAAAAAAAAAAAAACAAAGAGCGAAAGAGAGAATGAAATGAAAAAAAACGTAAAAAAAAAGAGAAATACACATTTGGTGGAGCTACAAAAGTAAAGAAGGGAGATGAAAAATAGAGGCGGGGAGAGCTTCGTGACAATAAAAGAGGCACGTACTTCCGCGAGTGTTCTCCGCAAGACGCAAATGAGTCGGCGCACCGCACATTTACTCTAGATGATACATAGTGAGAACTACACCATCATACATCGCGCCCAGTCTCTTCCCTCTCCTACCTCACTTTTTTTTCTTCCACCCACAACGAGTGGAGGGCACGGGTTGGTGTCTAACACCCCTTTCCTCCAATTCCCAGTTCCCAACACTTTGCGGGTGCGGATGCCTGTGGGGGCATATACATCAAAGAGAATAGGGAACACAGATGTAAGAAAAAAAAAAGCATTAATGTTGCAATACAATGCTGATGCGGTCAATTTTCTTTTTTTCTTTTTTCTTATTTTATTCCCTTACTCTTTTCCTCTTGTTTTTTTTATTTGTGTGCTTGTTTGCGTGGGAGGGGGAAGGGGAGGAATTACTTTTATCTGGTTCTTGGCTCCAGAGTGTTGTTTTTGCTCGTTGCAGCTGCAGTCCCAGTAGAAAGGTCCTCCGCCCCTTTGCACCTTCACTTGCTCACCCAGCCGCGAAGACAAATTCCGGTTGGCTTTCGCTACACAACCGCAGGACCTACACGGGCCTTTCGCCTTCTTTCGAAGGAGCAGTGTCATTTGCCTCCTCCACAGCAACAGCTGCGGGGGCCTTCCGCTTTAACTCCTCCGACCTGAGGCGCACCATATCCACCACCGCAGGGAGCACAAAACTGTCGAGCATGTCACATACCTGGTTTTCTGTTACATCGGCGTCCGGAACTTCCACAGAGAGCAGAGAAACACTCTCCAGGCGGTTGCACTCCGCATCAATTGCCTCCTCCATTGCACACTCCTCCCCAACCGTGGTGTAAAGTTGGTGCGAGTAGCACTCAACCACGTCATCAATGGCACGAATGTAGGCGGCGTACTGCACAGCCTCCTTGTCGTGAAGAATGCGTTCTTGTGCACGAAGCTCTGCCTCCTTCGCCTCACGCTCTGCCCGAACAGCCTCTGCCTCACGGCGGAGCCCCTCCAGCGTGCTAAGATCACGTTGCCGTTCCAATTCATTAAAGAGGTAATCCAGGGTTTCCACAATAATATCGCCCTGCGCTGCATCGCCAAAACTGTCAGCAACAGCCTCAAGACGTTTAACCTTTTCCTCTGCTTCCTTCTCCTCCACACTACGCTCAGCATACTTGGCGTTGGATGCAGCCTGGAGTTCCTCAATAAGCCCACGGCATCGTTCCTTGCCGTCAAAGAAGTCATTCTGAACCGCACGACCACGGAGTAGACGCTGAAGAAGAATACAGGCCTCCTCCACACTCTCTTCCGCATCGTCTTCAAGCTCCAACTCAGGTGTATCCGGGCGTTGAAGACGAGGAGTGGCACGATACAGTTCTATCACCCGCATCGTTTCCTCCCTGGAGTCACTCTTATGTATCTTTGTATTAACATATTCAAGTGCATCCACCACGCGTGCTGCCTCACGCCTCTGATACAAAGTTGGCAATGAATTAATGGCGTCATTATCTGGAGTTACAAAAGTATTCGCTGGCAGTCGTTGAATGCGCGGTACTTTAACCTCTTCCAGCTCCTTTATACCCTCTTCAAGTGTGAGGATGGTAGGTCGCACATCGTAGTATCGGAAGTGATCGGAAGGTCTCATCGGTGTGGGTGGTACGGCCCTACCGTATGAAGCCTGCGTGGTGGCGGCGAAGGCACCGTACCTGGAGTAAGCCTCAATCAGATCCTTCTTCGGCTTGTTCGACTCAACAGGATCGACAGCATACATTCCACAAGCCACGGAGGATGCGGTTTTCGAGGCCCGATCCCCCAACAACTTTTGTGTTGTCGCAATGCGCTTCATCTCTGATCGCTCAATGAAACGTTTCAAGTCCGCAAGTTTCCGTGTCTTAGCCTCTTCTAGCCGGAGACGATTAGCCTCTTCTCGAGCCCCTTCTCGTTCCATTAGAGCATCACGAATGTCATCAAGGCGGCGTTGGCGCATTTTCGTCATGTGTTCTTCACGTTCCTTGCGCTCCTGTACTTCCAGATCATAGAGGGCACGGTGACGCACCTGCGACGACTTTGCATCTGTCTCTGGCGGCAGCGACGCCTCCAGTGCGCGTCGACGCCGCAGCCGCTGAATAAGTTCCACTTCCTCTACACCGGCAGGTAGGCCGTTGTTCCACTTGAGCTCATGGATGCCCAACACCTCCGGATTGGGGTCTCCACCTTCTGGAATGTAATACTCTGGCGTGTATGGTTCTGTCTGTGCCTCGTTCTCACGATACACAGTTTGAATCCCAACTTCACGTGATGCTCCAGTCTCGTTCATTGGTGTCGTGGGTGCCTTTGGAGCCCTCTTTCCAGCAGAGATGTTGCGCTTTATTGCAGGCAAGTGGTGCGGCCGCGCCTTCTTATGTCCCGAAGCAGATGCCGTGCGGCCTGAAAAGGAAGCAGCCTCAAATAGGTCCATCGTCGGCGTCGGCGTAGGGGGAACACTCGTTGCAAAGCGGACGTTATCGATATCAGCGTATGTTGTGGGGATGCTGCGCGCCTCCACGGGGCGACGGAAGTACCGTACACGGTCACGCCCAGCCACCTCCGTCGTGAAACCGTGTGCCCCCATCACAGATGGGGGATGTCGATGTTGTTGTCTGTAGTACATAATGAGGCAGCCGGGCTAATAAGGCGAAGCGGCCGTCAAAAATAAAAAAGATACCGCAACAAAGAGAAAATCTAACAAAAAGAAAAGGAGAGGATGGTGGCGGCGCCCTAAAGAATGCCAACAGCGCCAAGAGAAGAACAAAAAAAAAAATCTTCCCTTGTTGCTCTGAGTTACTTTTTAGTTAGAAATTATCAGTTGTTCCGACGGCAAAAAGACACAAGAACGGGGAAACAGAAGCATTTAACTCTATCAGACAGGCATGCAAGCGTCACTTCAACAGAGCACATGTCTCTCTGCTCCCAGCATACCCATATATATATCTTGTATAGGTAGATAGGGTGAGTCAAACACACACAC